GTGGGTGCACTGGTCGTGTGCCGAAGCTGACGCTATGAGCGGCATTGCTGTAGTCCTCGCCAGACTTGGGGTTCAGTTAGCGCTCTCTCGACCGCTCAGCAGCCGCAGTTGCCGTTAGAATATCCCACAGGCCCTTTTTTATACAGGGAAATTCTCTGATCGCGCAAGAGAGACAGACACACAGAGAGAGTGAGAGAGCGCGAGAATGAGAGCGAGAGAACGAACAAGAACAAGAGTGAACAAACAAAACAGTCGACACGATGGCGCGACGACTTCGCTCTGAGTTGAACAACAGCAAAAACAGGGAATTTCTTGCTGCTGCCGCTGCTGCTGCTGCTGCTGCTGCTGCTGGCCTTTTACGAATTCTATAAATCAGTCTTTCATTTTCTCTTTCACATCATTCAGCCATTTTCTCTTTGACGCGACGGACGCGTCTGCAGCTTGCAAACGGACGAACGGCAACGAAACGGGCAACGAGCGCACGAACAAACGCTTGGGAATTTGGTTTTTTGTGTGTGGATTAATTAAAACAATGTTCTGTGTTTCGTGTTCCCTGCTAGCATAAAATAATGCAAATGCCACAAAGTGCTCAAGAGTCACAAATGCAATAACAAAATGCACCAAGCGTGTTAAGCAAGCAAGCAGCAGCAGAAAAAGAAGAAGCAGAAAGAAGCAAACAAACGTGCGTGAGCTGTGATTCTGTGCGTGTGTGCTTGTGTTAGTGTATGTGCGTGTGAAACATTTAAGCTTTAAGTGCTGCCAGCGTGCGCTGCCGCTGCGCTTTGGATAGCCGCCGTCGACGCCAAACGTTTGGAGGAGCTGCTGTCTAACATTAAATGTTAGTATACCAACACAAGCATAGTCAAATATGTACACATCAACATACAAACAGCAAAAACAACAAGAACGAAACGTCTGCAAAGATGCGACGGCCTGTGTCTGTGTGTGTTAAAAATAAAAGTAATCAAAAGGGGGCAGCGATTACGTCGCCGTCGACGTTGTCGTCGCGTGCATTGCTCCCTCTCAGCTGCTGCGCATGTGTTTGTAGTTGTAGTAGTGTTTAGTGTGTAGTGTGTAGTGAAGTGTGTTTTACATACAGACATATTTATACTTACATACATACATACACATTTGCATGCTTTGTATGTGTGTGTCAATTTTGTCAAACTATTACAGCAGTGCTTACATTTACATCATATGTTAAATAAACTGTTAACATTGCCCCTCTGTCCCTCGCCTGACGTTTGTTTTTGTTTGCCCACGCAAATATGCAATGATTTCTTTCTCTCTCTCTCTCCCTCTCTTTTTTTTTTTTTGTTATGTCGCGCTTAGCCAACCAACCGCCGCGACCTCTCGCTGTGCGCTTTTCATTCATACCTTGCAAATGAAGCGTGCTCAATTGTGCGACGCGGGTGCGGGTGCGGGTGGTGGGCGGGTGGGCTGCACAGCGGAGCAGCGGGTCGGGGCTGGAATCTGTGTTGGGTGGTGGATACACACACACACACACACGCACGCACGTAAATGCTCAGGCGTCTTACAAGCGGAAGTGGAAGTTGCTTTATCTGTGTGTGTGTGTGTGTGTGTGTGTGTATCTAATGGGATTTTCTAATAAAATTTAAATTGTTGCCGTTTTTATTTATATTTATATGTATTTAATATGAAGTGTGTGAAAAGTGTGCAACGACACAATGGAAAATGAAATACGAGTCCATAATTTACAAGCAAAAAAGTTGACAGTCTAATAAATCGTAAATCGACTGTTAAATATGCAATTAAGAAACAATTGTAAGCAAATTACAAACAAAAATTGAATTCAGTAATAAATATCCTCCTATAAGATAACTGTTAAAAGCAAGCAGGGAAATATGCCTCACAGCCGAAATACTCGAGTGTAAAATTGCCGTCGCTAAAACATAAAAACAAAACAGAAATTAAGAAATTTAAGGAAGACAGTTTGAAACTGAGTTAAAGCTACGAATTCCTGTGAACTTCGATTGTTTAATATTAAAGTAAAGATAATTCAAAATATTTAACAATCTCCAAGTGGAAAAAAAGTCGTGAAACCGTGAATAACTCGGCGGAAAATGAAATATGTGAAAAAGTTTGCTTGAATTACAGAATTTTTGTTGTCAAAACGTGTCAAAACTAAATTTGTTTATACAAATTATAAGAAATATAGAATTCAAGGATCAACACATCAAAAAATTTATAGGAACTCTAAACGAAAAGTTATCAAATTAACGAGCCTAGCAAGTTTTAAGAATAACTTATTTGGAGTTGAAACTGCGCAAAGGTTTGAAATTTATAAAAACGAATGCCTAAATAAAAGCCAGGAATACGAGTTCTTCAGATTTCAACAAATGGTTTTTAATGAAGGAAATAACATTTAATGCGGAACAAGAAATTGCAGGATTTCTTGTAGGTTTTTGTGTGAGAAACCTAAGTAACTTTTAAAATAAAGTGCTTCTATGTGGAAAATGTTAAATATTTATTTCAAATTTGATATGGATGAGAATATCACAAAACAGACTTCCTTTTGAAGGTGTGGACATTTGTTGATTTATGTTGCTAGTTTGAATTTATCGGAACTCACAAATTTACACGAGATTCTCCTGAAAATATTGCAAACTGAAAAACTGATAAGATATCATCAGGAAAACTGTGAGAAAAAAATATCTTAAAGAACTAAGAAGAACAAAATTAAAAGTATTACAGAAAGACATTTTTAAATTGCCGCTGCTTATAAATTGATTTCCTGTTAATGCTCGACATTATTAATACTTACAAGAACAAAAAATAGCCTGTCAAACTTTTAACATTTTCAAATATATCCATGTTCACATAACATGCATATGTTTGCATGTATGTATGTGTGTGCCTTTAGATGTTTGCTTGTTATCTGAATATTAACAGAAACCCTTGAGCAGAAACCTCATCAAAGTTGAGCCCCTGTCCCCGAACACAGTACAACAACAACAACACTAACAGCGGCTTAACATTAATCCCAACATTTAACGATGCGTTTAACAGGAATGTTGGCACAGGCAGCAGAGCCAGAGGCAGCGACTGCGGCAACGGCAGGTGAAATGCCAACACCTCTGCCGCCGTCGCCGTCCGTCAATCCAAAACGCCGCAAGAACAGGGAAATTCTACGGTCACATAAAAGGCTAATAAAATATTTTACAAATTCAAAGCCGTCATAAAAACGTCGAAAAATAGAAAAACAAAGAACCTCATATGAAAATTCAGAATCAAGTGCAATCAGCAGTGACAACAACAACAACAACAACAACAAAAGCAAATACAGCGACTGCATACAAAATACAAAAAAAAAATATATTAAAGCAAATAAAAAAACAAAACTGACAAGCGAATGGGCAGAGAGCGGAGCACAAGTGCATATGTTAATATGCCTGTGTGTGTGTGTGTGTGTGTGTGTGTGTGTGTGTGCGCGCGCGTGTGTGTCCGTGCGTGTGAGTGTGTGAAAAAGCCTCACGCTCAACGCTTTTTATTAATTCTGTTAAATATGCACACATAAAAAAAAACAGAAACAAGAATTTCAAACAAACTCCGTGAAGGAAGGGGGGTTCACAAAAGCAACGGCGCTGCTGCTGCGCTGCCTACGTGCAAGTCGCCGTTGCCGTCGCAGTCCATATTCCACTTTGCCCCCCCTCCCCTTCTGTCCAACACAAAACGGCACTCTGCCTGCCTGCCTGCGCCTCTGCTACCTGAAACTGAAATTTTCCCGCATTAGAATGCTCGCGTTCCTTGTTGTTGTTGTTGCTGTCGTTGTTGTTGGTTGGTTGGTTGCACGCGGACGACGACGTCGACAGACAATCAGCGGGACAGGCGGATAGGCAGAGAAACACAGACGGACAGCACAGAAAGCAAGCAGCAGCAGCGACAACAACAACAACAACCACAACGACGAAAAAAAAACACGCTGGCAAAAGGGCATGGAATGGGAGTTGATTTTATTTTTCTTCCTTTTCGGCTGCTGCTTCTTCGCGTTATGCTGTGTGTAGTATTATTTTTTTTGTTTACCTTATGCTTTCGTTTATCGACCCGTTTTTGGTTTTGTGTGTTTTTGTGTGCTACATATGCGTTTCTTTCGCTCTTTTGCTCGGTCTCTTATTCGTTCGTTTGCTCGCGTGCGCCGCTCTCACAGCAACAGCAGCAGCATAATCGCAGCCTGCATGCTTATGTATCTTGTCTCTCTCTTTCTCCCTCTCTCTCGCCTCTTTCTTTTGCTTGCTAGCTCTGTTTTATTATTTCACTTCACAAAAGGCACTAATAGGACGTTTGTTTTCTTTTTTGTCAATTATGTGTGTGTGTGTGTGTGTGTAAATAACATACATTTGCACATAAACGGCACTTTAATCTCTATCAAAAACCCTGTATTTAATTAAATTGCCTTGCCTTAACATACTCTTTTAACATAACATTACACTTTGGCCCTTAACATTTCAAATAAAAGCGCCATGACTTGACCAGTCCATAGCAAGCAGCTTCGGCGCGGTGTGCTGTTAGCGCTCTGCATGCCATTTTCGATTGTTTGGGAAATTTCACAGCTGTTGTGGCCATTGTGAACGCTTTTAACAGCGCGCTAGTGATGCGCGTTGCGTTCAACACTGTTAGCTAACAGCAAATAAAAAACAAGTCGAATGAAAAAAAAACCTAAACGAATTGTTATTGTGATTATTATGTTTGTGTTTGTGGTGGCCAGAGAAATGCAGCGAACATGAATTAAAGTGCACATGAAATGTGTGCCACATAAAAGTCATTTGCTGCACTTGTGGGGCAACGGCAACGGCAACAACACGCGTCAGAGGTTGCCCCCATCAAAAATAACACACACAGCGTCCGCCTGCCAGAAGGTGTGGCTGCAGCACATTCATATTTGTTGGTATTTGTTGGCTCTTGAATTGTTTTTTTTTTTTTTATAAGCTTTTTCTATCCATTCTCATGCATTTTCTTCGACATTTTGTTGTGTTTTGCAGCGGCGTTGCCACCTCGCTAAGCTGCGCGGATTCCAGCACAGGCTCCAGTGAGGATGCATCCGAGCCCGGCTCACCGTACAGTGCGCACTCGCTATTGAGCGACGAGCAGCAGCTTAACAAAATGCCGCCACAAATACTCAGCGCTGCCGCGGGCAGCAGCAGCAGCAGCAGCAATAACAACAACAACACTGCGACAGCAACAGCAACTGCTGCACCAACAGCAGCAGCTGCAACCACAGCGAATGCAATTAGAAGCAACAGCAACACTGCCAAAATCACAACCACAGCAACAACAGCAACAGCAATCACACAACGCCACAACAACAGCAACACGACGCCGCCTACGCTGCAATGGCCCTGGAACACGAGCCTGGGCAGCACCTCAACAGCTGTGCCTGCTGCAGCCAGCGCCGCAGTCGCCTCGAAGAAGCGCGCTGCTGTCAACAGCAGCAGTAGCAACTGCAGCAGCAGCAGCAACGATGCCAGCGGCTTGGCCTGCATCGCTGTGGCGCCCAAGAAGTTGCGCGCGGATCTGCAGAGCGGCAGCAACAGCAACAACAGCGGCGACAAAAGACTGAAAGCAGCTGCCCTGGAGGAGTCGCAGACCAAGATCACGGGCTTCTTCAAGTCGCAAATGAAGGCGACGCCGGGCAAGCTGTCGGCAACGCCGTCGCCGCCGCCGCCGCAGCCACTGCCACAAGCAACAGCCACGCCCAGCACGCTGACAATGAGCACGCCGGCAACAACAGCCTCGCTAAACAAATACTTTAACATACTCTCGCAGCTCAATGAGCAAAAGCAGCAGCAGCAGCAGCAACAACAACAGCAGCAACAGTTGCAGCAGCAGCAGCAGCAACAACAGCAGCAACAACAACAGCAGCAGCAGCAGTCCAAGCTAACAACAGCTGCTGCTGCTGCGACTGCTGCCACATTGCCCGTGCCGGCACTCAAGAAAATCGAACGCAGCAGCAAGCAGCCCGCCAAAATTGCCCAAGTGGCGCCCAATTTACGCAAGACGCCCAGCAGCAACAGTCACGCCCACAACACACATGCCGCCGCCCACTCGGGCACTGGCAAATCGCCCGCCAAAAAGCACGTGGCCATTGCGCCGCGCACGCCCGAAATGAAGCAGCAGCAGCAGCAGCAACAGCAGCAACAATTGCAGCTGCAGGCCTCCAAGACGCTGCTCGCAGCAGCTGCCTATCGTGCGCCTCACAACAGCAACAACAACAGCAGCAGCAGCAATGCCAATAACAACAGCAACAGCAGCAACACGACGACAACAATTGCTGCCAAGCCCTGCCAGAAGCTGCAGCCCGCTGCTGTTGCGCCCACAGCCACGCCCACGGCCAGCCCCACGCTATATCAGCTGCCCGTGCAGCTGCCCAATTTGGTGCATTTGCCGCCGCAGCTCGCCGCCGCCGCCAACATAATGCAGCTGAACAATGTGGCCAAAGCGGCCGTCGCCGCCGCTGCCAGCAACAATGCGGCCGCAGCAGCTGCCTCCGCGCAGGCGGCACAAGCGGCAGCCGCGCAATATTTTCTGAACGGCACCGTCTTCAAGCTGCAGCAGGTGACAACGGCAACCACGACGACGGCAACAACTGCCACAGCAGCTGCGACCAGTGCGGGCGGAGTCAATCCCTTCGGCCTGCTCAGCGCCAACGAGCTGCAGGAGCTGCTGCTCAAGCAACAGCAGCAGCAGCAACAACAGCAGCAGCAACAGTTGCAGCTGCAGCAGGCGGCGGCTGTTAAAGCAGCTGCCGCAGCTGCCACGCCCACAGCGAATGGTGCTGCCAACTTGCAGGAGCTGTTTCAGCAGCAAATAGCCGCAGCCATTGCCGCACAGCAGCAGCAGCAGCAGCAACAACAGCAGCAGCAACACCAACAGCAGCAATTTCAACGCTTGGGCGCCGCCGCCGCAGCGCAGCCCGTTTTTATGGCCACGCCCGCAGGCCTGCTGCTGAATGCGGCCACGCTGCCGGCCATGTTGGCGCAGGCGGCGGCAGCAATCGCTGCTAACAGTCAGCAGCAACAGCAGAAAGTAGCTGCCGCTGTGGCCCTGCAGCAGCAGCAGCAGCAGCAACATCATCAACAACAGCAACAAGCGCTGCCTGCGCTGCAACCCATACCCGCCTTGAGTTCCATATTTGAGCCTGCCTCCGAGCAGCAGCAACAGTTGCAGCTGCAGCAACAGCAGCTGGCGCAGCTGCTGCTCTCACATCAGCAGCAGCAGCAACACCACCAGCAGCAGCAGCAGCAGCAACAACAACAACTTATCACTGCCACACAGCCTCCGCCGCTGACTGCTGCGAACAGCAGCAACACTGCCAGCAGCAACAGCAATGCCTCGAATACTTTAAGCAACAACAGCAACACTGCCCTGCTGCCACAGCAGCAACAACAACAGCAGCAGCAGCAACAACAACAGCAACAACGTGCCATCATCAAGGGTCCGCCCCCGCTGGTAACCATCTCCACCGCCTCCTCCCTCAGCACAGCTGCTGCCAAGTCACGTGCGCTGCCCGCCGCCCTGGCCAAGCCCTATCAGAAGCGAACGCCGCCCACGCAGCAGCAGCAGCAACAACAACAGCAGCAGCAGCCGCCACTTAGCAAAACCAAATATGCAGCCATTGCCACGCCCACAACGCCGCCTCCTCTGGTGCCGACCAGCACGGGCGCTGCTGCTGCCGCCGCCAACAAGGAGCTGCAGCAACTGCGCAAAGGTGCCACGCCCGCAGCAACAACAGCAACGCCCACGCCGCCGCTGGTAAGCATAGCGCCGGCCAAGCTAACGCCAACGCTCAGCATGGCCAAGCAGCAGCAGCAGCAACAGCTGCCGCCAGCAGGGGCAGCAACAGTTGGCAAGATCTCAAGCACCGCTGATCTCTTTGATCTGGTCAAGAACTCAAATGGCGCCATCAGCATTGTGGGCAAGACTACAGCCACTGCCACGCCCATGTGCACAACTCCCGCCCCCAGTCCACTGACGCCGCTGCCCTTCAGTTCGCCCAGCAGCAATAGCAACAGCAACTGCAATTCGCAGCAATCGCAACGCGCCTCGCCCGCACTCTCCACACACTCGTCCAGTACACTGTCTGCCTTTGGCAAATCCCTGGTGGCCATTAAGTCGGAGCCCATGGAGGAGTCAAACACGCCACCGCCTCCATTGTCCAGCACGCCCAAGCCGCACAGCTTTGCCGGGCAGCTGCCCAACGCACGACGCGTGGAGCCCCACAAGCACGAGCTGCTCGCCGAGTGCAGCGGCGGCGGCTCCAACTCCAACTGCAGCAGCAGCTACACCAGCAGCAGCTCGGTGAGCAGCGCCGCAGATCTCTCGCTGGAGGCATCGACGCCCGCCTCGCTCAGCTCGGCGCCATCGCCGGCGGCGAGCAACAGCAGCAGCAGCAGCCAGACGCAGCAGATGAGCTCGCCGGAGGGACATGCTAGCCAGCAGGATATGCTCAGCGAGCTGGTCACCTCCTGCAATTCCAGCGGCACCGAAGACTGCTCCCAGGCAGCCATAACGCCGCCAGCAGCCGCCGAGGTAGCAACAATTGCTGCGACTGCCGTCACAACAGCAACTGGCGGCGGCAGCAGCAGCAGCAGCGGCAGCAGCAACTACGACGAGGAGGATGACAAATCGGTGGCCTCCTCCGAGACGGCCACGCACAAGCGACTGACGCCCGAATCCGGCATTGGCGGCAGCCTCAGCAACAGCGAGAGCAGCAATTCCATAGCGGATGCCATGTAAGTGACAGCAGCAGCAGCATCATCAGCAACAGGTCGATCTAATAAGGTTTCACTCTTTCGTAATCACAGCTCCTCGAAATCGGTTTGCCCGCCCGCCTCGGCCAGCAGCAACAGCTGCAACGCCTCTGACAGCAACTCGTTGGCCAGCAATGCGCCCTCACCCGCCTCGCCCAGCAACACCAGCAACAGCAACGACGATTGCTCCGCCTCATCGCCAGCCTGCTTGGCTGTGGCCAGCCCGAGCACCATGGTGGATACAACATTGGCCGAAAGCGCCAGCAAATTGATGCCCAAGTGCGCCATTTCGCCGATTCTGTCACAGCCCAAGACGATACGCTTTCCGGCCGGCGCAGGAGCAGGAGCCAAGGGAGCGAAGCGGCATGATGGCGTCTGCTATTGGGACAAGTGCAACAAGAAGCATGAGAGCAACTCGAAACTCTTGGACCACATGCAGACGCATCATGTCAACACGCAGACGGGTCCCTTCGCCTGCCTCTGGGTGGGTTGTAAGGTGTACAATAAGGAGTCCTGCTCCCGTCGCTGGCTGGAGCGCCATGTGCTCTCGCACGGCGGCTCCAAGCAATTCAAGTGTATCGTCGAAGGCTGCGGCCTGCGCTTTGGCTCACAGGTAAGTAAAGAACCAAAATACCAACAATCATCAACGCCAGTTCGACCTCTAACCCGGCTCTCTCTTTGTATTCCCCCGTAGCTGGCACTGCAGAAGCACGTGAACAACCACTTCAATGCCACGGACAATGCCAAGGAGAGCACCAGCAAACGCACCTCCGATCCGCCGGTGCCCAAGCAGCTGCGCAAGAATGGCAAAAAGCTGCGATATCGCCGGCAACCCTTCTCAGGTGAGTGCCGCTTGCGAAGAGGGCAACATTTCGATTCTATAGAAATATATACAGAAAACTGGAAATCATTCAAAGTGGCTTTCGGATTAGTTGAGGCTTAGCGATAGGTTTATATTTTTCAAAAATCGATTAATTGTCTCTAAATTAATAAGCTATCGATTATTAATTTGCTATTAATTGAAGCTATCGATAATTTTAGCTATCGATAACTATATTTGCTGCTTTTTATCGATAACTTATATTGACCTATATTTAGGGACCGACAGCTTTGGATAAATTTGCAAGAAAAAAATGAAATTATCGATAAACATTTTATTAGTATTAATAAATGCATTTTGTGATCAATTTATCGTTCGATAAGTACATATAAATTATATTTACCGAAAGCTAAGGATAGCTATAGATGATTCAGTTTCCGATATATATTTCGTTTTAAAGTACAAAATATCTAATGTGATTTAAAGCAATATGAAAAGAATCGATCGTATTATCGACTTTTAAGTAGGCCAATTTCTAACCTGAAACAAACTGTATAATCGACTGCTTTGATTGTTTTTTAACTATGAAAAGTATCGAATACGGATGATAAAGGTAAGGCGAAAATACTGATTTATCGATCTTTATATTGAGCCCTATCGATGGATATAAAACATGGAAAGAATTTGCTTTTCCTAAATCTATCTAATCAAAACTTCAGCATCATTTAAATGCTATGCAAATGGATCTTTACACCAGATTGATTTCGATAAGTTGCAATCGAATACATCATTTGTTTTTAAATTATGATTTGTGTGAAGCCATTGAGGCGCCATGTACACTTGCGATAACAGCACACAATATATATTCAAAATCGATAAATGTTCAATCATTTTAATCGACAAATATTCGATAACGCTTTCCGTTTAAATGTGTTTGAAATTCGATTAGACATGATTTCTCTTTTTTGAGTGCTTGAATATGTGTTGAAGTATTAATTATTAAATTACTTATGTTCATGCTCTGTGTATTTTTGTATTTGTCGATAAATATGCCATTTCAAATTGTACAATACCTAATTATGCCCTTTTATTGCCGCAGCGCGCATGTTCGACTTCTTCGACACGGGCATCATGGAGGGACTGCAGCATCGGCTGCGCCAGATCAGCACGTTGACCAACGGAACCCAGGCCATCACGTTCCAGGGACAGTGCCTGATGCGGCGGCGCAACAGTCGAGGCGGGAGCGAGTGCTTCGTGCGCTGGTCACCGCGTGAAATGTGAGTTCTAATAAACTCCAAGTGGGAAGATTTGTATTCATATATATCTGTGTCTATTTAGCATATCGGATGAGTGGCTGCCGGAGTGCCCGAATCGGACACGGCAGCATACCAAAGTGCTGCACATCAAGCACATGCGTCCGGCGGAGAAGACGCGCATCGACAGTCTGCTGAGCACAGCCTACAGATTGCGCTACGATGCGCAGCTCTTTGCGGATGATTACAACGTAAACGAGCAGCAGCTGCAGCTGCAGCAGCAGCAGATGCAGATAGAGGAGGAGCTCAGCGGCAGTGATTGTGCCGAGAGCGATGCTGATGAGGAGGAGGAGGAGGAAGAAGATGATGAAGATGACGACGACGACGATGATGAGGACGACGGCGTCTCGGGCACAATCAGCTCGAGCAGCGGCACCGTCTCCAGCTATCAGCAGGTGCTCAGCATAGCCAAGCTGCAAATGCAACAGCGACGCAAGCATCCGCGCAAGCCGCCCAAGGCGACAGCAGCAATAGCCACAGCCACAGCGACGATAAAAGTGGAAGAGCTGGTGCCCACGGATGCTCTGGTGCCCATTTAGAAAGTATTTACAAAGCCCACACACACACCCCACACACCCGCAAGGACAAACGAGTAAACAGTGACAAGTAGTTTATAGATTTTTTTATAAGGCCACCCAAACAAACCCAAAACTATCATAAACATGCACACATACACATGCATACTATATCATAAGATCGTGTAACATACATATATATATATATATATATACATATATGCCCGCTCTCAGTTTTTAGATAAATCCCGCAAAATGACCATAGCAAATGTATATAGAAATCGCTTCAATATCAAACCCAAACAAATTTTAGAGTTTTTGTGTAAACCCTTGTTTTAAAAAAAATTTAAATTCTATTTTATGTTGCTGAAGACAAATATATCTAGCCTATATACCGCATAAACTTAATTAGTTTTAAGCATAACATTTTAAACAACTTTATGTAAATTGTGAACTGCCTGAGAAAAGAGGAAGAGACCCCGCAGACAAGACTTCTTTAATCATATTTATCATCTTCATTATAGTTTTATGTGCTCTATGCTTAGGCTTTGTGAACGCGTTTGATTCTTCTATTGATTTTCCCTTTATTTAGACCCAAACAAAAAACAAAACATTTCATTGAATTCCAAAAACTTCCAAAACGAAAAAAATAAGCAAACGCACAAACAACATCAACAACAACAACAACATGAATAAGACTTGAAGCATTTATCGCTATATGATTAAACTATAATTAAACGAATTCATGTATTCAATTCGAAGAGCAATGCAAAACAGTTTTAAGTTCGTTTAAGCAAAACAGCCGCAAGCGAAAGCAACATTAAGAAACAACAAAATATTAAGTAATAATATTTTAAACAAATTAATTTAGTCCAAATTTTGTATGTAATTGTCGTCTAGTTCGTTTTCCGCGTAACTTCTGTGTGTAAATATTTAAAAGTAATTGATTAATTTGCGTAAGCATTACACGTAAACAATTTGAATTAGAAAACAAAAATAAAAAACCATTACAAGCTATTTTTTTTTGTTTGGTTTTATAAACACTTAATTACGTTTATTTGCTTAACTAACTTTGTTTTGAATTAACTTATTGTTGGTTTGGTTTTTATATATGTACACGTATTTGTTTGTTGATTTTAACACACAGTCACATATGTCACAAGGTCAAGGTCAATGTCAATGTCAAGTTCAAGTCAAATCTAGCAGAGTTCGCCTTAAACAATAGTTATTTAATTGAATTTGTAAGTGTTTAAAGTTTATAAACTTAACTTAAAGTAAGTTATGCAAATCAGAAAAATACTTATAAAAAGGAACACAAAACCCTATAAAGTACTCAACACTGCCAAAGCGAAATGAATACAACAACAGCAACAACAACAACAACAACAAACAGTTTAAGATCGACTGATAAATGTATAAATTAAAACTTAAAGATCATTTATATATACATACATATATATATATATATATATAGGTCTGATTTCGCACAAAGCTTTTTCATATGTTGCAATAACAATAATAAGGCATATAGCAATTCCAAATAAGTATATTAACTATATATTAACAATATATGTGTGTGTTGTAGCCCTATACTCGAAGACTTAGTAATGCTTGGTTAGTTAGTACCCTTCTCGCCCCGTAGGCCGCGCTAGCCCGCCCATGTCTAATTCGAGTACTTAAATTAGTTTAGTATACAAGAATCATATGCAAGCATATACCATATATCAAATATATATATATATATATATATAGAAAGATATAGATATATGTGCGTAGTTAACAAGCCTTCAAGTCCGGGCAGAATATTTATGGCATAATATTATGATACTTCCGTTCAAGTAATTTCTTTTTAAATGGATGAGGCAAAAGTTGCATTTTGTAAATGTTGTAGGCTATATATATATATATATATTATATATATATATAAAGAAAAGAAATTGAAAGCAATACCTTTTAACAATCGCCTATATAAGGTTCGGAGTTCAAGCAAATATTTTTCGGATTGCCTAACATGAGATTCTTCGATATTTTGTACCGCAAAGAAAACGTAATGAGAGAAAATTCAAATTGAAAAAAATATATATATAAAGATATATATATATATATATTTAAAAATATATAAAACTACCTCAGATTTTTGCAAAACAAAACAAAAAGTAAAAAAAGTAAAAATAAAAATAAAAAAGAAAATACAAAGTACATAGGAATTTTTCGAGACAAGTTTTCTAAAGAACCTTAATGATAGACACTATATTTAATATATGGTTAGCTGTCTTCAAATTCAGCCGAACAAGGGAACGTATACAAAGCAACAACAAGAACAACAACAACAACAAAAACATTGAATATAAAGAAAGACAAATTAAGTACTCATAATACTTAGGTTAAAAAAAAAAATAACAGCATGTTTTGCGTATTTTGCTAATATTATGTAAGCGCAATTCTTAAAATACTTAAGCTCCAGTTCTAGAACTTCCCAACACTGTTTTTAAACATTTCTTGATTTCCACACTGCCCGAAAATCATCGAAAGATTCCATTTAACTTCCAATTTGCGAAAACCTTTTTTCCAAAACCAAAAAGAAAAACAACCTTTGCCTTCTTAATGCCATTTCGTTTTGTACATAGTTAATGATATACAAGGAATCCAATTATATATATATATATATATCATAAAGTAAATTACCAATAATGCAAGCGCTTTAATAAATTAAAAACAAAAATCAAGCATTACAAAATACTAATTAAAAATCAATTCAAAGTTAGCAAAGCAAATGAAAAACATACGTCTGTATCGTATTTCAGAACCTATGAATGATTTTAGAGCTCGCCAAGCAAACAAATTTGATTTTACATTCAGCTTCTGGCCCAGAACCAGGCCAACTAATGTAATCAAAACAACATTCTATGGAAGAAGATATAGATATATATATATATATACCTATATATATTATTTAAACTCTACATATACACAACTTAGTATGTACAAGTGGAACAGACAGTAACAGAAACATGTAAACGCTGAGAAGAGAAAATATATAGATGCAAGAAATATTGAACAAGTTGGCGTATTATTTTAGTTAAGTGCAGATAGGTAAGTATCTTTAACTAATTGTGCTTCCATCGTTTGGCGCACAGAAATTGTCCCTGTATGCATGCTTATTGTTCCAGCACCCCTTTTACATCAACAGCACCTTAACAGCCCGCTTTACAGCACTCCTTTTGCATGAACAGCAGCTTAACAGCCGGCCTTGCAGCATCCCTTTAACATGCACTGCAGCTGCTACTTAACAGTCGACTGTTATGCATGTTAGCAGCAAGCTAACATTTATACCCCTTGCGCGTATGCAATGCAATTTTTCTTTCGAATTCATGTCGACCTGCTGCCATTTCTGTTCGCCTGGTACTTCAGCCAAATTTTCATATAAATCTCGTCCGGGCAGCCGGCACCCTTGAGGATATGCAATGAAATTTTTTGTTTGCTGATTTTTTGTTGACTTGCTCGTCATTTCTGTTTGCCTGGTATTTCAGCAGAATTTTTAGAAAAATCTCGTTACACAGCAGCCGGCTCAGTGTCATTTTGCGACCGGTAATATTTGAAAATTGAACACTGAACAAAATCCTGGATATTTCGGTAACTACAAGGACGATTTGGATGTCCCTTGGCCAGTTGATAGTCCTGTTCCATACGGCTTATTTGAACAAGGACTTGCTGGGATGTGCAAGGAGACGGCCGAGCTATAGCTTATTTTCTTTTCAAAAAGATGTCCTTATATCTGGCCTCCGTGAAGAATTTTCGTCTTTATTATTAAATACTCTGAAGGGTCACGATAAACACTGTGTGTTGGCCAAAGGACATCAGGATGGCCATTAAAATGGCCAAGTTATGGTCAAATTTCTATTACATGCAATAGTGCATCCTTTTTAGAAAAATAGCCATAGCTCGTCCATATCCTTGCGGATTTTCAAAGGATATGCTGCGTTGGGATCGTAAGGACCAGCCGCATCGATCTGCATCAAAAAATTAGGGGGTCATCTAAGAATCCAGGACTTGTCAAAATTTTTGTCGCGGGCGGCACGAAAACAGGACAAAAACACTAAATCCTTGATATCTAGGAAACTACAAGGACGATTTCGATGTCCTTTGGCCAGATGATAGCCCTGGTCCATACAATTCATTTGACATGGGACTCGCCAGGATACGCAAGGATACGGCCGAAATAAAGGCTATTTTAAGTTACGAAAATTGACATTTGCTCCGCCATCTGAAGGACTTTCGTCCTTTTTTTTGCTAATCCTTAAATGGGACCACAAGAACTATCTACTGGCCAAAGGACATCCCGATAGTCCTTAAAATGGCCGAGTTAGGTCGGATTTTTTCGATTTTTGGCACTTTTCCGACTTGGAAAATTTTTTTGGTCGAATCCTGGAAATTCTTGAATGCCAATCGATAGTTCTGCTGTCCACGAGTTCAAAAAGTTATATCCTTTTGAAATCCTGCAGGATTTGGCCGAGTTATGGCTTAAAACAAAATGTCATTTTCAGAAAAATAGCCATAACTCGGCCAAATCCTGGCGTATCCTGACGAGTCATGGGTCCAATAATGCGTATTGTCCAGGACCATCAACTGGGCAAAGGACATTAAAATCGTCCTGGTAGTTTTCGATTTATTTAGGATTTTCATTCTTAATAAGTGGGAGGGGATGGGGGAGGGGGAGGGGGGGTAAGGAAAGCTGCATAGTGTGCACATCCTTTTGCAAAACCTGTAAAAATACACAACAAATAAACAAAATAAAAATAAGCCGTTTCTTTTTTTTGGAAATTAGAAATTACAATTTATTTCATACAATGTCTGTTGTTTGTTGTTGTTTTCGAATACACAGTTACAGTAGTTGCTCTAAAACCCTTCATCGATCGTACATATATATATATATATATTAATATATATAGGTGTAAGTGTGTGTGTGTGTGGATGTACAGTAATTGGAGAATGCAAATAACAATAAAAATTCGTAACAATTTGCCCGCAGCAACAACAAATACGCGGCCCTATCGAACCCCCCTCCCCCTCCGGGCAAAGTGAACGCAACACGGGCGCTGCAACTTTGCGGGGCGGGTTGGAGGTGGGGCGGTGCGCGGACTCACAAAGCTTTATATACAAATTCTGCTTCTCGCTCTGCCTGTTGTTGTTATTGTTGTCTTTTTGTGCATTTGTTTCTGTTGTTGCCTGTGGTCTGCGGTGGAGCGGCTGCGTAGGTGTGTGTGTGTGTGGGGGGGGGGGCGTGGCTTAGTGGGCGCCCAGCTGCACGGGTTGGTCACCTCCGCGTTCTCAGCATCACGAATGCATCGGCGGCCAACGGGCAGGGGCGCTCTTGCCACGCCCACCGGCCAGCACACACAATATTCCAGCTGCAGCTCGTTGCAATTGTTGTTGTTGTTGTTCTTATTGTTAACAATATACAAATTGTTGTTGCTATTTGCTAGTACACAAATCGAGTTGTTGTTGTTGTTTTAGGTTTTTGCATAACTTCTAATTTGTTGGGATTTTACAATTTTTTTGTTGCATTTTTCAACGTTGTTTTTGTTGTTGTTGTCAACGTTATCGTTTTTTTTTTTTCGTTTTTGTTTTGCTTGCACGACTTTTGTTGTATTTGTTGTTGTTTACAATTTTGCTACTACAATTTCATGTTCATATTTTATACATAATATATATTTTATATATATAATATTGTTTCTTTACTATACAATAACAGCGGAAAAATTGCGTGTGTGTGTGAAATTTTCATTTACCATTTTTTATCATGCTCTTGATTTGTATTGTTTTTCTTTTTCTTGCATTTGTTTATAACAACTTTTTCATGTTAATATGTATAATTGTTTATCATTCTCGTTATAATATATATGTATATATATATATTGTGTATATATATTATGTATATCAATACCGTAATTGTTTTTTGTTTTTGTATTTTGTATTACAATTTTTTATGTATTTTCTTATCACAAAAAAATCATAATTATATATATATATAATTTATTATTATTAATTTTTAATATATTATTCTTAGAATTGAACAATAATTAAAAATAAACATAGGACTTAGTTACATTTTGTATGCGTGTGTGTGTGTGTCGGTGTGTGTGTGTGTGTTTATGATTGTATGTAGTTGGTTTTTGTTGTTGTTGTTTGCAGTTGTTGAAGTATTGCCAAGTAATTATTTGTGTCTTTTAGCCCGCCAACAACTTTGCCTTTTGCACGAGGTGGCAACGCCAGGCGGCGACGCCAGTGTTGCCCTACGCAGCAAGTGCAGCGCAATTGTTGGTTCGATTATGCTTTGATTTATTTGTTGTTGTTTGGCCCTTTTCGCTAAATTTGTTGTATGCAAATTTACAATTGTTGTTGTTGTTGTTGTTTTTCTTTACAGAGTTTGTTAACGAATTTTACATATACACTAAACATTATTTAATAATAATAATGGAAAAAACAAATAACAAAGAGCACACGTTTTGTGGAGCGCAAAAAAATAAAATAAAGATATAGAAAAGTAAGAGACAAATTTGATATTTGATTACAACTTTATGAACTTATGAACTGCAAAATTGATTTGAACGGAAAATATAAAACTAAACTAAACAGCCAGCAATTTAGGCGAATGTGCAAAGTAAATGTTCAAAGAAATAACAAGAAATTATAAATGGTTGTTGTTGTTGTTGTTGCATTATTAGTTGTTGTTCTTCTTCTTCTTGTTGTACACACTAATGCGCGACAATATGGCAACACTGGCGCCCAACTCATCAATTGCAGTTATTTGTTATTGTTTTTGTTTTGTTTTTTTTTTGTCATTTTTTTTTTTTTGTTGCTATATACAAACGGCCACCAGAGTTGCCACCAAAACGCGTTTTGAATTTGTTGTTATTGTTGGATGGTTTTCAATTTGATACACTTTTTACTTGCAGTTGTTGTTGTTGTTTTTGTTGTTGTAGTTGATGTTGTTGATTGCTGGGCTGTTTGTCTACTTGTTTGTTGTGTGTGTGTGTTGAATTGATTGATTTATTTCGTGTACAGGTAAATGGCCACAATCAAGCCGTAGAGACCCAACACCTCAGCGAAGATGAGAATCAGAATCATGCCGACAAACAGACGTGGCTGCTGTGCTGTGCCACGCACACCGGCATCGCCCACAATGCCGATCGCAAAGCCGGCTGCCAGGCCCGAGAAGCCCACAGACAAGCCGGCGCCCAAGTGAATGAAGCCCCTGGATAGAACAGATGGGAAAACATTAGTTTAAGGACACAAATTCACATGTATATATTTATGTATTTAGTAACTAACTTGAATAGGGTGTAATTGGCCGGCAAGTCCAGTTGGCCGGCAATCAGCACAGCGACGACCAGACCGTAAATGGCAATGATACCCGCCATGACCACAGGAATGATGGATTTCATGATCAGTTCAGGACGCATCACTGACATGGCAGCAATACCGGTACCAGACTTGGCAGTGCCATAAGCGGCGCCGAGTGCTACAGAGAGTTAAGAGAAACATTTCGTTAGATTAGTGCTTCAAATAAATAAAGAATAAACTTCATCATTTTGGTTCCTTCCCCATTAAAAACACCCTGTATTCTGCCAGCTTAGACAACTCTTTTTTTATAGCTATGCTTCAATGGTGTCGCACTGGCTGGAAAGCCTTGAGTGTTTTGGGCTAGCATACATGTTACATAATAATTAATGGGTTAACACTGGCTGGAACGCCTTAAGCGTTCTTTTTTTTTTTTTTTGTTTTTGTCTAATTGGGCTGCAGTGCACGTTATGTCATCGATCATACTTTCAAATAGCTCCTACATCGAAAATCATGTTAGCGTAAAGCTAAATTCTGTAAAATAACGTAACATTTAGCGGTCACATGACCCATACTTAACGAAAAACACACACATACACACACTCATAACTACTCAACAGAGCCAGAGTTGTCGTTTGAGTGCTTTATTTTTTTGTGCACTCTCTCGCATTTGCTGTTGCTCTCATTACGATATATTCATCATTTGATAAGGTCGAGTAAATGTGAAGAAGCCAAAGTGCTAGAGTTGCCAAATAGCTCTGACTGACGAATGTTATATACGCATGTGTGTATGTATGTACATATGTATGTATGCATGCACGCGCATTGAATATTGAAATATAAAACCAGTTTCATATGACGGTCAATGGTATTTGTTAAAAAAAAAAAAAAAAAAACACATTTTGTTTGCGTTTGTGTGTGTGTGTCTGTGAAGCGCAAATAAATCGAATTAAAACACGCATACAGTTGCGTATATAAAATGCTGGCAGGCTAAAAAAAATAACAACTGCACATCTGTATGTGCAAAAGGTAAGTGTGTGTGTGTATGTGTGCGCGACGTTTCAGAGTTAACGTTAATGGCATTTGCCGCTACGACAGCTGAGCGTAAATGAGAGAGTGAGAGCGAGCAATGGAGCTACAGTCGCTGGCTGCGCTAATTGGCACTGTCATGTGACATTTTGATGCTAATTAACTGTATTTTCCACTCAAATTGATATTCTATCGGTGCGAATTAAATGAAGGGCTCGCTAAAATACTCATATATACAAAATAAAAAAAAAATTGACTAGCATGCCGAACAAATTCGTGCAAGTTGTTGAAATATAATTAATAAATTATTTTAAAAAAATAACTTGTTTTAGCTCGTAATTTTTAGCTATGGTTAATTAAAAAAGCCACAAAACTGCACACTTTACTCGTATGCATACGTCATAGGAGCGCCATAAAAACCGGAATATACGTGTTTTTGTTATTTTTCCTTGCTAGCTAATGAGAAATACATGCATATGTGTATCCACATTTGTCGCTATCAAATATTGAGAAACAGACCTAACACACATTCAAGACATTTGTTTGTCGTTGCTTTTCTAATCAAACCCAAATTTCAAACGTTCTTCGTCTCGGAGACTTCCAAATGCTCATTAAACCTGTAGATATGTATGCATATGTATGTTTGTCTATGAAAAACGCTTCGTGTTCTCTAGCCCAGCAACAGGCAAACACATTTACATTCAATTGCAATTAATCAACAAAAATTCATTGAGAATATATTCTGTGGGCCTTAGACAAAGGCAAACATCCGAAGTAATGTATTTAAGAGAGCTCAAAATTGCATGACCAATCATGCTAGGGAACGGACAGGTTCTAAACAGGTTGAAGGGTTTTCCTGATTTTTATATAAAAGCGCTAAATACTGCGAAAACAGGTGCATTATTTATAGGCGTCAGATAATAGAAATAGTTTATGTGTAAACATGTCACAACTTTTATTTGCTTGTGCTCGGCATAAGTTTACAGTACATTTACATGGTATAAACAACAGCTGAGCGTTACATGGCACAATATTTTGAACGTTGACTGTAAAGGACTGCCAGTGTGTACACACAAATCAATAAAATAAATATATCTGAGCGCGCGCCAAGTCTTCAATTTGACTTTTGACTGCGGCGTTGCACTGCATTTAAATGCACACCATTTGCATGTAATAACAATTAAATTTATAAATGTGGCATTGACTTGGGGGTTTTTTTTCTTTCTTCTCGATATTTAACTGCCCTCAACGCGACAGACGCATGGCAGACATTGGCGTGGGTGCCTTGTGCCCAGTACACAAACCGCCAGAGAAGAGGAAGCGGACCGAGCATAGAAACAAAAACAAACAACCAGCACATTTTTAGATAAATATAAATGTGAGGAATATGTGAAAGTAGCAAGCGAAATGAATAAAGATATGTGTGTATATTACCAATACATACACATGCCATGTTTATACAATGTGTACGTGTGTGTGTGTATGTACAGCAACAAATTGAAGCGTCACAGTTGAGTGCGCACACAAAAGAACCAAGATAGCGTGTGAGCGAGAGATAAAGAGAGCAAGAGAAGAAGAAACAGCAGCAGCTTATCAAACACTGCTCAATGCGAGAAGATGCTCGATGCCGACGCTGCTGCTGCTGCTGCTTTTGTTGTTGCTTGAGACAAGTGAAAAAGTCAAAGGCATTGGAATGCACAATTCACAGAAAACAACAATAAGTAAAAGAAAAAATATCGAATTGTACATTGTTTTTCGAATAACTTAATTGTTGAGACATTTTTGCTTTGGCTTCTGCTTGTATTTTCTCATAATCTCTGCTGCACACACACACACACACACACATACACACAGCCACACTGACAGATTGCAAATTTGTGATTACAAATTGAGCGAATGCTTTGTGCGTAATCTTCATTTGATTAGATAATTTGTTAGTACAGGATGTGCGCGCTGAACGTTGTTACGCTCGTATATATTTGTATACTAATCATATTAATTAGAAGTTATTGTTAATTAATTATAATGCAGCACACATATGTATGTACATATACGCATGCACACCAAGGGCCTCTTGCTTGCCACGTTTTATACTCTCTCTCTCTCTTTTGCTCGCTCAGATAAAGCAGGGTCGTTATTGAGCTCAAAACTCAAGCAGCTGCTTCTCTGAAGCCTATGGAACTTTTTTGATTTTTTTTTTTGCAAGATTTTCAAGCTTTGAAAAGTAAACATAAAAGTAGCACGTGACATTAACATACAACTTTTACATAATTAACATACATACTTGGGCAAATGTATGTGTACACTTTACTATCAATTTATATGTATGTAAATGTATCTACTACTATTTCTATACTGAGTTTGCGCAGGCAAGCATCAGCATGTGGGTGTATGTGTGCATGTTTGTGTGTGTGAGTACATATGTCAGCCGCTTTGTGTGCATGTGAAGGATTTTCTGAAACCATTTATAACGAGTACAAAAAACAGCGGGCACTGATAAAAGCTCAAAGCAACGCCCATTGTGCGATATTGACAGGCAATGACTCAGAATCCATCACAGCTTTTGAGCGGTGTCAGTTAACTGCAACATGGAAACAAGCTGGCTTGAGTGCTGCTTAAACTCGCTCACTCTCTTATGTTTGCGTGTTCATTTGATCGTGAGAGCGCGCCAATAGCGTTGCCAGATATTGTAAGCCGCATGTTTTTACATGCAAATGCTAACAGTAGCTGCTCTTTATGATTTTTAATGTATAAATTTGTACTTGGCTGCAGCTTAAAATGAGTTATGCTGTTGACTTAAATTACATAAGCAATGCGATATCATTGTTGCCATGTCAAGAGCGCTATCTACAAATTTTGATACAGCACACTACGCTAATAAGCAAAGTAAATATTTAAGCCGAGCAAACTTTGCTCTTGGTTAACATTTTTTTTTGTGAGTAGAGAGTTGGACTCAAATCACAAGACTGAAATTGATGCATGACATAATAATTATGTCATTGATATGAGTTTATTTATCGAAAAACTATTAAAAATAATTTAGAGCCCTTCATTTTGGTGTATGCAAAAGTAGGTCTATTTTTTCGTGCATAAACATTTAGCATTGTGCTACTTTATCCGCAGCGCGTGCTTCTCTTTAATTCTAGGTGTATGATTTCTTTGCCTTACGACAACGCAAGGCGGGTCTTATCTTATCACAGACAAGTTATTGGTAAATAAGCCCGGACCACTTATCAGCTAAGGTAATATAATAATAATAAAAAAAGATGTATGGTTTCTGATAAGCTGTATAGAAAAGAACCCCAGGCATGTGATGCCTCTTGGCTGTGTGCTATGGTCGTCGAGTCGATTGATCATGCAAGGGCTGATGAGGTAAAAAGGAAAAAAAAAAAAAGTGGCATGTGATTACGCTTGTTGTTATGATTTCTATTGTGTTACAAAAACCAACAAAGCAGCGCTCAATCATGTGTTTGTTTAGATAAGCATGTGTTTGATGGGAAATCAAATTTTAGTAACCTATATATATGTCATGTTTTTATGATAAATTTTACAACAGAAATGCACGTGATGGAAAAAATGCACATGATGTGTCATATTAACTGCCCTACGCTACATATACAAGTATGCTATTAACATTTGTTGCCTTTTCCTGCCCGCATTTGTTGTGGAAGCCACATGCATGCAGTTCTCTGCGTATTCTACATTCATCAAAAGATAAGCCAAGAAAAAATAAAATACTTCAGTATGGCAACACCAAAAAGTTGGTCTTGTGACTGTGTGAAAAGGTAAGCGCGAGTTTCGCGTCATAAACTTCACAGAAAAACCGTAACTCTCCTCTCACACACACAATAGGAAACGATGACAATGCTTGGTACAAGAGCGTGCGCAACTCTCTCTCTCTCTCACACACTCTCTTTCCTTTATCTGCCGCTCACTTGCTGCTGTATGTGTATGAGTAATGCCGTTTTTAGCACGTTGAAAAAGAGGCAACGAATTTCTAATTTCGATGCTGCCATTTTTGTGTTTGCAATAAAGCAAATAAATGCGCATATTATCCATACAAAAATGAAATATAATTGAATATTTTTATATAATAAGCGTATATGCTATTAACTATTCTAGCTGAAACATGGAAACGTTTTTGCTAGTCACGCGCATTTCGAACCGACTCAAACTCAAACACAAACACATGCACGATTACGCTGTGTGTGACTTGACTGTGAGCGTATTGAGTTTTTGTACACTTGCCGCCGCCTGCCGCCTACAAAAGCGCCTACATACATACAGACATGGGTACTTTTCTTCTTTTTTTTTTTGCTGACTAGATGTTCTTCTTCTTCTAGCATTTACGCCACAAAATGTTCGATTTTTCTACGCATGCAGCGCTGCGCGTCCCTTTTGTAAACGAATTATGAAGTTTACAGGAAGGTTATTTTTCTTTTGGGTTTCGTTATTCGAAAGACTCACCTGAGAAGATAATGGCGGACGCAGCGCCCATAACACCGAAGAAGGGGCCATAGATGGGGTTGTCGTTGCTCGCACTTGACATTTTGCTTTGTTTTTTGTTGTGTGTTTGGGCTACAAGATGAAAATTGAAATTTGAATTCGTTTTTGTTGTTTCTTTTCGCTTATTGCACTTTGATTTCTTATGTTATGTTATGTATCGGCGTGTTTTACGTTGCTTTGCAAGTTGAAATAAAGTATTTTTATTACATATACAATATATGTGTATATATGTATGTACAAAAAATTTTCTTGCGCTGCTTTACGAACCACAATGCTGCTACGACAACGTACGATTTGTGAGTGAGCGCGTTGTGAGAGACCAAGAGCAAAACACTCGACGCTCGCCTCACAATTATTGAATTTTATCTCGAGTTTTTGAGTGCGTCGCTGAGAGCCCTTATGTATGTGTGTTCGAAGTCATGTGCCTATGTGTGCGTGCGTATGAGCGCATGACGGAATGAGCTTAAATAAAAAAGTCCAATTGGCAATGACAACGCACTGGAAAATTACGCACACACACACAGAGTCACATGCACACTCACATGAGTTATTTAAAACTTCATTTTCGAACACAATTGGCAATATTTGCGCGTTTTTTCGCGTCCAAATTTCTTTATATATTGACTCAAATTTGCAGAAATTTTTACGCTCACTGCGCACACTCTCTCACACACACACATATATGGGTCGTTCATTGCCATTGGTGTGCCTGCATGTGTGTGTGTGTGTGTGCGCATGTCGTGGCAGAAAATACTATTGTACAAATTTTTGGTACAAATTTTGCTCGTAGGTTTGCCATTTTCTGTTTTGCAATTCGACTTTATTATGTTTGCATCTTGTCGTAGCAGCATTGTCGTATATTATTACATGGTTAAATCTTTTTCGATTGCTCCTCATATGACTACTGTTTTTTCTTCACTCACGTGATTAGAAATCTAATTTAAAGCAACTCGCTTCTGTGGCTGGCCTTTCGGGTTTATTGCTGGCTGCTGCTGCTGGGCGACTAAAGCACGCTCTGCTTTTTGATACGGCACTGAACTCCTACGGTGCGTTTTCGTTTTCTTTTATAAACTTTAGTCACGGGGGCGGATTTTCGGCAGTGCTGCTATTTGGTTTCTTATCGATACTATTGTTTAGCGCTGTTATGCAACACTGATCCAGTGATCGACCTGGCAAAGGCGCTTTTGGTATTTTATGAGCTTAACAAAAAGTACAATTTTGTTTGGTATTTGTTTTGGATTTGGCTTAGTAACATTTTGGTATTGTCGAGTAAAGTTAGTATTTTTCTAAAGCTTTTGATAACAGAGTGTTCATATTTGTAAGCAACATGCGTGGATCCTCCGCCAGACCAGCGCCAACCATCGCATTGGCAAACAATTGCTTGGTGATCAACTGGGCCAGCTCCGGTTCGCTCGTACGCAAGGAATGCAGCTTCTTTATGATGGGATGTCTGCAAGAAAAGAGCCATTAAAAGGATTATCGTAGGCTGAAATACCCTCGCTCCAATACTTACTTTGGATTGATTTCCAGCTCCGGCTGCAATAGGGCGAAACGATTCTCCTCTGGCAGCTGATGGCTTTGGGTGCGTATGAAATGTCGTGCTGCGGCCATTTCCTCGACGGTGATAACACATGGATGAGTGTCCAGTCGAGAAGTAGCCTTCACTTTGGCCACCTGACCCTTAAGCTGATCCTCCAGCCAGGGTACGAGGCTGTCCAGCTCGGAGCGCATCAAGCTGCCTTCGCCTAAATCTTCCAGAGCAGCGGGATCTTTTGACTGATTGCGCATCTCCTTCTCCACAGAGACAAGCTTCTTGTTCTTGAACTTTCCCAGCTGCATCAGCACCAATTCATCGTAGGGCTCATAGCAGAAGAGCACAAGCTCGTTGCGCTTCTTAAGACTCTCATAGTAGGGTGAGGATTCGGCAAGGACGCGATTTGGCGCTGCCAGATAGTATATATCCTTTTGATCCGCACTAACCGTTGTGTAGTAGTCCTCCAGGGAAATGCGCCCAGCTTCCGATTTCGATGATTCAAAGCGCAATAGCTTGGCAATTTCTTCCTTCTCAGCGGGATCGGTGGACGTGACAATGCCCTCCTTTAGAAACAGTCCATAGTCGCGATAGAATGCTTCATATTCTTCTGGCTGCTTCTTGGCACGCTCCTGCAGGAAGCGTACGACACGACTAGAGATTACGCTCGACAGTTTGCGTATAAGGCTACTGTTCTGCAGCAATTCCCGACTCAAGTTTAGGGGTATGTCCTCCGAGTCGACAACTCCTTTCACAAAGCGCAGCCACTTGGGCAGCAAATGCTCCGTTTTGGACTGGATCAGCACCTTACGCGTGTAAAGAGCGACGCCGGTGCTGCCATCACGAGACATCTCGAAGAGGCCGGGCTTGCCCTCCGGAAAATAGAGCAGCGCATGTATGCTCAGTGGCACATCGGCGTTATAGTGTAGCGAGAAGCGGGGGGCATCGAAACTGTTGCTAATAAAGCGATAGAAGTCCTGATGCTGCTCCTTACTAATGCTTTGAGGATCCATCAGCCAAAGGGGCTTAATCTCATTTGCCTGCTTGCCGTTCAGCAGAATGGGTGAGCCCACAAAGTTGCTGTACTTCTTGATAACGGCGCGTATCCGATCCTCGTCGGCATATTCGCGGCAGTCAGTCTTTAAATGAAGAACAATCTTGGTGCCGTGTTCCACGTCCTTCACTTCCTCGATAGTGTAGGTACCACTGCCATCTGTAGCCCAGCGTAGTCCAGGTGCATTGGGTGTGGCAGCGCGCGTGTATACCTCAACACGCTGGGCCACAATAAATGCCGAGTAGAAACCCACACCGAATTGGCCAATTATATTGGATGTGGCCTGTGCCGCCTGATGGTCCTGCTTGAGCTGCTCCAGAAACTGTTTGGAGCCGCTGCGCGCAATAGTACCAAGATTGCTGACCAGCTCCTCGCGTGTCATACCAATGCCCGTGTCCTGGATGATCAGCTGCATCTGTGGCTTGTCTGTGGTGATGCGTATCTCCAGTGGCCGATCCTTGGCCGCCAATTCCGATTCAGCTGTTGTTCTTAGGGCCGAATAGCGAAACTTTTCCAAGGCATCGCTTGCATTCGAGATCAGCTCGCGCACAAACACCTCGTGATCCGAGTACAAGGAGCGTGCGACAATGTCCAGCAGTTGTCGTGTCTCTGCTTGAAACTCGTGCTTGTCCACGGCCGGCGCTTCCTTCGCAACTGTGGCGAATCGACGTTGCGGCAAGGCTGCATAGAATTTACCCATAAGCAACTACTCTACAAATTCGTTGCAAATCCTTACCTGCCGCGGGCAGCTGATGCAAAGACGGCGTACTCAATGCAAAGGTCGCTGCTCGATTCGCTTGCCGGCACAGCCGGGTCAGCTGACGGGCCTTGAGTAGCACACCAAAAGCACGCAGGGACATCTTGTGTTGGAATTAATGCTTCAATCAAATATTCTGCTAAAAAAAAAAAATAAATATAATTGATTGTGTCAGTTCAAACAAAAGTTGAAATATAAGTGTTATTTAACTCTCTGAGCGCACATGTGTTATGATTCTCGATTAACTGTTATCGATTTGTTTCTGGTAGTTAACAGCACTGGTATCGATTGCGACTTGCTTTCAAGTTTAAAAAACTTTTCAGCACTGATAATTTATGTTATCATAAATGTTGGAATACAATTTTTATTTTGTTTATTTTTTCAGGCTCGTCAAATAATTTTTTTTCGATAGTTTAATCTATTTAAGAAAAGGTGTAAGCTTTAAAAAAATGCTATTAATTTGGGAAAGTCCTGAACTTTTCAAAATTCACTAGATTGCCATCTTATCACACTTATGATTACTTGATAATGAACAAAAAACATTTGACCCAACTGCATCATAGATTGTCTCTTATCACAATTTAGAATTTCGCTTATATTTGCCTATTTTAGCATCGTTCTATTAGTTTGTAATCTCAGTTTCGAAAAGCGGGCCGTCGAATAGAATGCGAGCATTTTTAAGAGCTTCACTTGATATTGAAATGTATCGTTATTTGTGTGCGGTGTTCTTTACCATCTTAATTTTATTTCTAAGCGTTGCAGCTACCTCTGCTTCTGAAGATCACTGGGATGACCAGGTGTGTGGGTAGAGTGTTTGTTTTTTGTCCTATAAATTGTGACTGCGTTCTTTTTAACTTAGGCTCGAATCGAAAAAGAATGTGCGCCGTACTGCCTGAAAGTATTTCTATGGAACACTGTGAATATGAACCAAAAGATTGAAGCCTGCGATAAAAAGAATGAGCAGATGGCGGCTCTGCAAAGCCAGTTGGCTGTTTCAAAAGTCAAGGAAACCATGTATGAAAAAACAATTAGGGAAAAAAATGTTCACTGCAAAAGTGAAGAGCAACTTTATGCTGATGTATCCTCAATAAAACACAAAATAGACAATATGGCAGCTCAAACGCAAAGCGAAAGTAAACTGTTGCAAATATTAAAACAACTAGAAGACTACAGAGTAACTCTAGAGCTGAAGAACGAACAAATAAGATCATTGGAAACAAAATTGCAGATCAGCGAGTATTTATTAGAGAATTGCAAGGCAAATTTTACAGCTAGTCCAGCAGATCTGATGATAATGGATAGCAAACGAGAAGCGGATCATAAGGTTTTCGAAACAAGCTGCTTGCAAGCTGGAAACTCGTCAGATATTAGGGAAATCCAAGTTCCGGGAGCAGAAGCTTTTCGCGTGCCCTGCGACGGAAGAATCGCTGGGCCCGGCTGGATGGTGATTCAGCGACGTGTGGACAAGAGCGTGGACTTCAATCGAGGCTGGGCTGAATATAGGACTGGTTTTGGCGATCTTGAGGGCAACTTTTTCATAGGCTTGGAGAAACTGTATCGCATGACAAATTCACAGCCGCATGAGCTGTATATATATTTGGAAAATTTTGAAAATGAAATTCGCTTTGCTCGCTACGATAATTTTAGTATAGCTAGCGAAGAGGATGCTTATCAACTAAAAGTTTTGGGTAAATATTCCGGGGATGCTGGCGATGCCTTGATGTTGAATAGAAACATGAAATTTACCACATTTGATCGGGATAATGACAAACGCGACTTCGATAACTGTGCAATAGAGCGCCACAGTGGATGGTGGTACAGTCAGTGCGCACGATCGTAAGTAGTTAAAATAAACCTCCTTAATGAAATTGATAAAATATTAAGATTTACTTATTTCTCAGAAATCTGAACGGCCGATATTTTGAAAGAGAGTTGGACAAATGGGAAGGCATTTGGTGGTGGAATTGGCAAGAAACGCGCACTCTTAAGTCCGTGCAAATGCTGATTAGACCAACGATCAATTCGACGGAAACGAATTGAGCCAGCATAAAATAATTATTTGTTTAAATATATTAAAAAACTTTAAATATAATCACTAGTGTAAATATTATATTAAAATATGTGGATTCTTTTTTAATAAGTTAATTTTTTCAAATATGTCGCCAATAAGTAAAATGTGGCGATATATCGATTGCTGTTTTTAATACAATTACCGCAGTATTTTATCGATATAAATATATCGCTGATTTTTGCGCCCAGCATTTGTTAATGTCTAATTGCAACCCTGCTTCTGGAAGCGCGTCGTCTTCGCGTTGTAGTTGTATTTATTGTTGAGTTTTTTTTTTTAATTTTTAACTACTATAAGTGAGTGTGCGCGCTGTATTAGTTTATAGAATGTACTATTTGTGTTGCCTTTGGATTTAAGTTAGCACAGAATGACGTCCATTGACAATGTGCGTGTGCTGCTGCAGTCTCTGCCAGCAGCATCGCCTGCCGTCGGCAACAGCAACAACAATGCACAGCAAAATGAGTCGACGCCGGCTAAACTTGGCGCTGCTGCAACACCATTGCGCGCGAGAAATACCCAGCAGCAGCAACAACAGCAGCAACAGCAGCAGCAGCTGCAGTTGCAAGCACATCCACAATTTTTTTATGGTACGCCGGAAAAATCAACAACTGGGGCCAGTGTTGGTGGCAAGCAGCTCAGGGCGCCGGAGGAATTCTGGCGTGATCTGCACCAGTTTCACGAGCGGCGCGGGTAGGTCCTTGGCATGTCTATCATAGCCTTGATTTACTTGTTACTTTTCAACAGCACTCCGCTGACGCAGGCCGCCAAGATAAGTGGTCAGCACGTGGATTTATACCGGCTGTACCAGGAGGTCACGGAGCGCGGTGGCTTTAACAAAGTGAACATGCGCGATGAGTGGGACGAGGTGTACAGCGCGCTGGACACGCTGCGGGATCGTTGCGTTAATGGCACCGCTGGCATTAAGCATATCTATCGTCGCTATTTGGACAAATACGAGCGTCTGAACTTCTTGGGTGAGGATCCCGACAAGCTGGAGGCCTTGGAGGCGGTCATCGAGTGCGCTGATCTGGGCGCCAGCGCCAGTCGTGCGCGTTCACGTGCCTTGGCCGGCGCCAGCGTCGGGGGTGTAGGTGGCAGCTTAACTGGCGGCAGCTGGGGCAGCATTTTTGGCATGCCGCACTCCACGCTGACGGCCGTGCCCATGGCGTATAACCAGCGCCAGCATATGGTGAATGCGGATCGCCGACGACAGTACAAAATGTCGACACAGCTGCACAAGCACAGCAGCTATGAGAAGCTGCTGTTGTCGCTTATCTCACCGCTGCCCAACGAGCAGGACTTTGCCATCAATGTGTGCACGCTGATGGCCAATGAGCAGCGTCCAACGCTGCAGCTGAACGAGTGCCCCAAGCTGTTGGATGTGCTGCTGGCGCATTTGGGCGTCTATGCGGACTACAGCATGCGCCAGCTGTTCCAGCATGGGCACAACAATGCCGGCATGCAGGTGCGACGTCACTCGAAGCTTAATTTCTGGCGGGACTTGCTCTACGATAAGCCACAAATTCTGGACCTCTACACGGACGAACAAGCCTGGCTGGACAATGGACTGATCAACATGGAGAGCGACGCATGCAACGATTATCTGTTTCAATCGGATGAGCTCGATTTCGAGCTGGACTTTTTAAATTTACGTCGAAGTCATGGCACGGATGAGCGCATTGGCCAGCGTGTGCTGCAAATTGTTCAGCTATTGCGCAGCTTGAGTTTTCATCAGGACAACGTTACTCTGCTCGCCTCCAATCGTACGCTCTGGCGATATCTGGTCATGGGTGCCAATGTTCGTTGGAGTAAGTAGTCATAGCCAATGGCATTCATCTAGCTTATCAGTTAGATACGGGCCCTTAGATTCGTTTTTGTCTAAGCTTCGCTGAAATCGTCCTCTTAGATGCATTTTCCATATATTTTGAATTGCAGGCAACATCCACATTCAGGCCCTGGAAACGGCTGGCAATTTGGCGCAGCAGTTTGACCTACTGGATCCTGCCACGGACGAGCTATCGCGCAATCTGCTGGCCACGCTTTGCGAGGGCGTCGAATCGAATGATCGCGCTGTCATCATCAGCTGCCTAGAGATACTCTACAAACTGTGCGGACGCGAGGGCAATGCCCAGCACATAAATCGTTGTCTTGGCTTGGATTTCTATCAGCGTGTGATGCTGTTGCTCTCGCTGACCGATGTGATGCTTTTGATCTTCACGCTGGAGGCGATCTATGCGTTGAGCTCTTTGGGTGCGCGTCCCTGCTCGATGTTGATGCAGGTGCGCGGTCTGCTGGATCAGCTGGTGGCCTTACTAACCGTCGAGGCGCAATCATATGGCGCGGCTGGCTGCATTTTGATGCGCGTCGTGGAGGTGGTGCCGGGTAATATGTTGTCCACACTGGCACAGACCATACCGGGCACTCAAATGACACAGCTGATGACGGCCAAGCAGCCACAGCAGCCAGCGCCGATTGCTGCACTGCCGCCGCCAGCGCCAACACAGGTCCAAGTGTTACCGCCACAGCCGGAGACCGTTTCGGTGTCTGTGCCTGCGCCTGCTCCAACGCATACGCCCGCGCCCGCCGCTGTGTCCCTGCCTGTGCCTAGTTTGCCGCAGGTGCAGCTGCCTGTGCCCAGTTTGCCGCAGGTCCAGCTACCGCCACCGCCAACCCAACAAGTATCGATGCCTGCTCCAGCGGCCGGCACAGTTATGCTGCCTGGATCGTTGCCCGCAGCGCCCTCAGCGCCGCAAAGCTTTACCCATGATGATGAGACCTATGCGCTGGCCTGGCTGGGTGCCACCTACGAGCGCGCCGGCAATGGTCATGAGTATCGCGTAGAGCAACAGGAGCTGTACACCATTTACCTATCGCACTGCCAGAAGGCGGGCAAGCTTTCGGTGGTGAATCGACTGCAATTTCCGCGTCTCGTGCGGCTCATATTCAATGCGAGCGTTGGTCCAGCCATTGTGCGCCAAATGGACGGCACCGATCTGCCCGGCACGCACTATGTGGGCATAAGGATGCGTGCTCAGCCTTTACCCATGCAGCAGCAGCATCAACAACAGCAACAACAACAACAGCAGAAGGCAGCAGCAACGGCGACGGCAACAGCTGCCAAAAAGGAGCCAGCGCTGGTGACCAAATCAGAGACAACAGCTGTAGACGCATCTGATGAAGCTACAGGCTCACAGACGCCCAGCTCCTCGCTGATTAAGAGCCTGCTGGCAAATAAAGTTAACGAGCGGCAGCTGAAACAAAAGGCCCAGGCCCAACCGCCTGCGCTGGTGGCCACCACAGCCTCAGCCACGGGCTCCCCGGCCAGCCAACCCATTAAGGTGACCTCCACGGCAATTAGCGCCTTTGTCAACAATCCGCTGATGCAGCACACGCCCGTAAAGGTGGGTCAAACCACCATAAAGCCGTTGCATCCGCAGCTGGCGCTGGAGAAGAAGCCAATGACGGACTCAGCACCACCGCCGCTGGCACCATTAAGCGGCTCCAATGTGCTTACGAAGGATGCGCAGGGGCGTACCGTAATTATACAATCCAAACGCAAGCTGACCATCGATGAGGAGCAAAACAAGCGACTGGCATTGGATAGCAGCAGCAACACGCCCGCTGGCAAGGATGAGCCGCAAGTGACGCCCTCTAAAAATGCGGCCAATCTCTACGCAGATTTGGCTGCTTCGATACTAGAAGATGAGGATTTGGACGATGTGCCGCCGCTGGCAGCGTCCAGTCAAGAGCAGCAGCAGACAACTCTGCAACAACAACAGCAGCAGCAGCAACAACAACAACAACATCAGCAGCAGCATCAGCAGCAACATCAGCAGCAGCATCAACAACAACTGCAGCTCATACCCGCCAAGGTGCAGCCCACACAGCGTCAGCTCATCTTTCCCGCTGGCAGTGCGGGAGCGCCACCGCCGCAGCTGAAATTGGCCACCACGGCGACCATTAAAACGGACCAGGGCTTGCAAACGGTGCCGGTCATATTGCAGAAGACAGAGCAACAGCAACAGCAACAACAGCAGCAGCCGACGCAAACACAATATGTGCTGGCCACCAATCAGCAGGGACAGACCTATCTGGTGGCACAGCAAACGGCGCCAGTGGCAGCGGCAGCCAATGCGCCGGCCACGCCCACGCTGCTGGTTACCCAAGCGGCGCAGCAGCAGACCAAAACAATTATCATATTGCAACAGCCGGGTGTCAGTGCCAGCAATGTGCCCGGCACACAGAAGGTCATAATGACCACAGCGCAGGGTCAACAGGTGCTGGTGACAACAACGACAGCGCCTGCGGTCGGCCAGCCACGGCCCGCAACCCAAGTCCAACAGCAGCTGCAGCAACAGCAACAAATCTTTCTAAATCCGCAGCGTGCGGTGCCCGCCGCCTTGGGTGCTGGTCAAATGTCGCCCTCGCTGCTCTCGCAACTCAATCAGATACCCGCCACCATTAAGCTGCATCAGCCGCAGCCGTCGCAATCGCCACAGCTGCATCGTGGCGGCATTGTGGCCACCAAGACAGCGCCCATACCGCAGCTTCAGCAGCATCAGTCTATTATACAGCAGCATATCATCTCCGGCCCGGCGGCAGCGGCAGAGAAGCGGCAGCTGCTCCTAGGCGGCATCAAGGAGACAACGCTCATCACACAAACGCCCGCCACGGCTGCCCCACTGCAGCAGAGTCAACTTAACTCGCAGACAATCATTACCACACAGCCGCCGGCAGCTACCACACCGATTGTTGGCGCTGCACTGCAGCAGCAACAGCAGCACATACGCAGCGTGCTCGAGCAGCAGCAGCAGCATCATCCATCCATAATACAGCAGAAGATAACTATGCCCACAGTGGTGAGTGCTGGCGAGGATTACTATTTAGCTTATGTCACTGAAGAGAGAGTAGTTGAATAGTCCGACGAGCTTATGTTTATGTATATGTATGCCACAATGAACTAGGATATATGCAAGTATATATTCTATTCTGCTTGATCATATATTGCATATCGTAATGCAAACGGAGGCATAGGAGCATGTTGGCATGTCCTATTTCGTACAGTGTAAAATCATATATTCTATTACCATATACTTCGCATCTCCATATATATTTTTGATAAGTGACAACTCTTGAGTCGTTATAGCCAAGTGCGTCTGTCTGTTCCTATGTGAGGAAAGGATCATCTAGTTATTATGATTAGAGATTTCTATGGGTACCTAGTTGTTTATGCTATAGGTCAGAGTCTCTCCCAAAAGTTTTTTGTTTTGAACCAAAACCATCAGCTTTTTTTTTGATTCCTTTCGGTTTTCTTAGCAACTGGTCTATATCTACTATAAAGGTTCGATAGAAACATTCCACCAATAATCAAGTTAAGATCATAAATATATTATTCGTATACATTATGTTATGTAGCTCTATTACGGCATAGGTATTTACATTTGGGCATTTCAAAGAAATTAATCATTTCATTTTCTTTGCAGCTAACGGAGACGGTCAAAGCTAAAGCTGCGCCAGCAGCAGCAACCATTGCCAAGAAGCCAATGGCGCCACCAACGCCTTCGCTGCCTGCGCAGCAACAACAGCAGCAGCCGGTGCAAATGCCAGCGCTGAAACCCACGCAACAACTACAACAACAAACGCAGTTGGTCAGCAGCGAGTCGAAGCCCAGCATTATGATTGAAGCCAAGCCGGCGGAGCAATCCACAATTACAGCAACAGCAACAGTTGCTTCAATGCCAGCAACAGCTGCAGCAGCTGCCACAGCTATTGCCTCCACCACAACAACAGCAACGAGCATTGTTAGCAATAGCAATCCAACAGCAGCCGGAGCAGCTACCAGCGCTGTGCCCGTGGATGTCAATTGGCTGTTCATTTGCGATTGGCGCAATTGTCCGCGTCGCAAATTCAAATCGCTCAACGAGCTGCAGCACCATGTCTGCAATGTGCATTGTCCGGATCATTTGGACACCGGCGCTGAGATCTATTGCCAGTGGGGCAGCGGTCCCAGCTTGTGTGACAACATAGCCCGTAAGCGTTACTCACTGATGACGCATCTGGTGGATCGTCATTTGGCCCTGGATGATCTGCGTGCGAGCGTGCAGCGTCGCCTTGCCACGGGCATACACAATGTGGCGCCCACCCAGCCAACGGTCACAATTGTGCGCAATGTGGGCAATGCCAGCAATGCGCCAGCATCAACAGCGGCAACAACAGCAGCTGCTGCTGCGCCAGCGACAACGGCCACGGCTGTGGGAACCTCGGCGCTGCAGGCAATTAAACGACACTCGGCCGACTTTCTCAACTCCAAGGAGCTGTTGGATGAGAACGAGGGCCCAGTCACAAAGAGCATACGCCTCACGGCGGCGCTGATATTGCGCAATCTGGTCAATTACACTTCGACGGCCAAGCGCAGCCTCAAGCGGTATGAGCCGCATCTGGCCAATGTGGCATTTAGCAATGTGGAGGCCAGTGGTGTCCTCTCCCACATACTGCACGAGCTCAGTCAGTAATCTCCCCAACTAATCAACTATCTAAAAAAATATATATATATATAGTATATGCATATACATATAAACATATTTTTCTACACCTCACGCTGCGCTGCTATACAAAAAAAAAACTAAATATTTAAACAATTATTTCTATTAACTAATGACATTATTAAATGTGAACAAATTGAATGAAATGAAGTGAACGAATATATATTTGGATTTTGGAGCAACTCGCGTTCAATTTGTTGGGTAAGTTTCAAACAATTTTGTTAACATAAATGAATCTAGTTCGAAATGAAAATCTTAAATGGTTTGGGAGTTATTTTATAAGTCGTAAAGTTCAAAAGGCTTTCGATTGTTTCTACGGATGGAATTAGAAATAATTTCTTATGCATGAATCCAGTTTTATTTTTATCAAATTCAGGAGTACAAAAAATTAAGTCTCGTTTAAATGTGAATCTGCAGCAAGAGAATTTGCTGGATATGTCAATCTTTGGTATGCATTTCGCCTGAAAGAATTCAAATAAACATCTCCGAATTTCATTAAATAAATCTTGAAGCTAACAACCTAGAAAGAAAGAAATAGAAATAGTCTCATAAAAAACATTAACGAACCCACGGATAAAATATGACAAACTTTAAAAATATTTTTTTTCTCCTAAATATATTAAGTATAAATCTCAAATGAATCTGAACAAAAAATCACGAATGAAGCGTCTTCAGTCCTTAGGAATCTTTAAGCACTTAAAAAATACCAAAATTGTTTGAGGCAGATTTAAAGTAGGTTTTGGTCATAATATAAAACTTAAAATTCACTATAAAGTTTAGAGGGTTACATGTGTATTACGGGATAACTATTTAAATATGAATGAAAGAAAGTTGCCCATGAATTGTCAGTCTCTGCCAGTGCAGCTGCTTGGCAGAAATATGATTCAAAGTATGATTCAAACTGTAACACTTAGAAACTAATACACATTTGTGTCAGGGGTTTAGTTGTATAAGTCCCAGAGCGAGATCTGTGCGTCCATGCCAGCAGCGGCCATAATGGGGGCACGCCACATGGACACAGGTTCCGAGGAGTAGGCGAGATCCATGACGCCGCCTTGTTTGTGCTGCGTCAGCACGGCCAGTGGTCGCAGGCTCTTCCACGAAAAAATGCGTATGCGACCGTCCCAGCCAGCGCTGGCAAAGACCTTCTGATCGGAGCGTATGCGCACACAGTTGACGCCCGGATTCTTGATGCACAGCTCGGAGCCGCGCTGCAGCTGCATGGATTGTCGTTGATAGCTGAAGGTGGTCAGTTTTTCGGCTAGGGTTGGCAAGTGGAAAACAACATTAATTGGCAGTTCAGGGGCAACAAATCTTAGTGTGTTCTTACAAGCGCCGCCCACTATGCCGCGGTTCGTGATGGGATCATAATCGACTGTCAAGGCATCCGGCGCCAGTTCCATGACATCAATCATAACACCGCTGCTAAGATCCCAGGTGAGGAAATGACCGGACTCGTAGCCGGCGAGCAGAAAAAGCTGTGAGGCGCACTCGAAGGGCTTAAAACAAGTAACGCTGCCCAGCTTGGCCAATTGTGGATCATCCGGTATTAGCATCTGTGTAGGCGCTGCCGGATCCGTAACATGCAGCACACCAATTGCCGTCTCCTCACACGGATAGAAGAGTAACTGTTCGTTTGTATTGTTGGGATTTATGTGCAGCGCTGTGCGACAATAGCCCAAATGATTGCCCGGTGTGCTGCGCTCCTTCACATAGCTGTTGCTGCTAATGGAGTACATGGTGATGGTGCCACCCTTCTCCTGCGTGATCAGATGCTCTTTGGTGTGATGCAGATTCGTAATTGGCGCGTTGCCCACCTCAAAGTTCAGCGACGAGCGGTTTGTCTACAAGACAACATTCATTTGTTTTTGTTTCAGTGTTTGTTGTTGTTTTCGGCTCACCTGTAGATCCCAGAGAAATACTCTGCCTTTGAGGGTGCCCGCCAGCAGGCGCTCGCTCTCATGAAAACATATGGAGTTGACGGCGCCCATGTCAGGGCAGCGTAAACTGAATACAGGATCAGGTGGTAGCACAGCCATTTTAAAACGTGAATTGAATTAATTAAATTTAACTAAAGCGTGTTGCGTTGCAATCTCGATAAGATAAATAAAGGGTGTTGCGATAAGTTGTGGCGGCAAATCGATGACGATTGCAATGTGGAATAAGACTGACAAATATCGAAATGTCAATGGCGCGATAAATTTGTGTACAAAATCCACCACTTACAATCCACATACACAGCTTTCAGCTGTTGCTGTTGCACGCGCAAGCCGCCAGATGTCGCCAGTGCGCTGGCGCGTCACGCACATGTTTCAAAAAGCTTTCAAAAGCGATAAAAGAAACTAGAAAAAAATGGGAAAGAAAAATTATATTTTATTTTTATCAAATTGTCGCACAGCCTTTAAGTGAAAATAAGCTGAACGATTTTACAGCAGAAAATATCATAAAATGCGCTAAATGCGCACAAAGCGCACAGTTGCCATTAAAAAACATAACGTGCCAGCAAAGCCGAGCGACTTTTATAGACTTTACCAGCGTCCAGCTGGAGGGGCCTAGACGTTAAGGCAACGATCATAAAAAGACTTGTCGCTTGTACTTGGGCTGACTGTAACAACCTAATGCCAAATGGCCTAAAAAACATACAGATAAAGCGTGCCCCCTCCCAAAATAAAAAAAAAAGATCGCAAAATAAACATGCTATAAGCTCGTTAATCAATGCTAAGTTGACAGTTTTAAGTGGCTTTACCGATTTTTTGTTTGTTTTGGTTTTCTTCAAATTTTTTTTTATACCTTTTTCCATTTTGTACAATCAACAAGAACAACGCTGGAGACTCCTGTTGCGTTCATATGATTTAGTAGATGCCCCAATAGGGCCAGCCAAAATTAAAACAAGCTATTTTTAATAAGAATAAATTATTTTTGAAAGATGTTTTTAACAATTTGGCTTAGTTTTGATATTTTAGAAACATAGTTGAGTTATATTTTAGTTTTATTTATTTCATTTTTTTGACATGCATGTTAATTCATGCGAAACTTGTTAACATGAGTATTACGGTTGCTTTTGAAATTTTGTGTTAGTGGTTTAAAAATGTTGATTGCTTTTAAATATAGTTTTATTGGCTTAAAACTCTTAGCTAAATTCTTTTATTTTAGTTTTTTGTTTCATTTTTATATTTTAAACATGCATGTTAATTCGTGTAAATCTTGTTAACAAGAGTGTCCAATTTTCTAATTAATTCATTGGCTTAAGTTAATTCTATCTTTGCATAATACATTTTGGTTATTTTGGTCTCATTTAAAATAGACTGTCTGAGCGAATTAGGAGCACAGTATTATATAATTAAGTCTGGCAACACTTTGAGTTAGTTTGACATACATGTTAATTTTCAATGTAGGGCTTAGAAGGTTGTTGGAAATCATAGATTTTGAGCTTATTGATAAAACGCCGTTAAATAATTGTCTAGAAATATAGATTTTAAACTGTTTTTTTATTTTTTTTATAACTAGTTTGATGTGAAGCGATGTAGTGTAAAATGTATTTAACATGCATGTTAAAGTTGTCTGCATCTTAAATTATAGCTGAACTTTATGGACTTTATAAGATTTAGGACTAATCAATACTTTGCGATATTGGAAACTTCGGAAAAAATGTAAAAAATAGTTGACATGCATGTTAAATTTTTAAATTGACATTCAATTTAATTGCTGGATAAGATGTCTTAAATAAATGTTTTGAAATGTTTTCTAATTAGTTATGCCTAAACATACAACAAATTTGACGTAAATAGGTTCAACGCCAATTTGAGTTGACATTAATATTAATAGCAAGAATTTCTTTAGTTAATTGCTTTAAACTGCTGTGTGATTAGAAATTCCAGGCAGCTGTTGCAGCTTTCGACTAGACCCTTAGATCTAGACGTAATTGTAGTTTAATGAGGGCGCAACAAGTTAACAACTCTCACAAATAGCTCGCGGAATTCCCCATCCCGTTTTGTTTAAACGTGTCTAAAATGCGGCTAAAAGTTCCTTTAACGGCCAAAGCGAATCGTAAAAAAGGTTAAAGCCTTTCCACACCAGACATTGAGCTCATTTGCTTTGGTTTCGGTTTTTATTGATTCGGACAGACGGACAGCTGCTCCAGAGTGAGAGAGTCAAAAAGAGGAGAGCCATAAATCTTTTTGCCACAGCCTCGAGGTGAGGCGTTTAGTGGCCTAAACTATTTATGCATACGGCTATCTGGGTAATCCATTTGAAATGGGTCAACAACTGCAACTGGCGACTCCTTAAACGATTCGCATGACCCAAACCCAAACCCAATACCCAGCCCAGTTCTTGGTTTCCAGTTCCCAGTTCCCAGTTCCCAGTTTCGGTTTCAGTTCCAGTTGAGAGATGTTTTAAAACATATTAGCTTGTTACCTTAATGAAGTCATAAATTTTCGCTATCGCATTGGAGCATCTCCTCGTGCCTCTGACGGCTGCAGGTTTCTAAGGAATTCCAATTCCTCTATCCAATCATTTTTTTGGCACACAACTGAAACTGAACAACAAAAAAAAAAAACAAATACCATATCCATATCCAAAATTCATATATGACCAATGCTCGATAGTTAATCAGGCTTAGTTTGATATATGCTGACAGTGCTAGCCTCTGGTGTAGACCGCCAGCTCAGCACCAAAAGGGGTGGCAGCACACAGCAAGAAGGGGGTGGAGGAGGGGAACCGGACAGTGCCAGGACAACCCGCTGTGCCTGTTCCGCGTATCCACGCATCCGATCGCTATGAAAATGAAGTTATCACGCGACAAACAATGACCCGTCCGCATTGCTACCTATAACTTTATATGGTTGTCATTATTAGCCCGGCATTGAAATGGACCCACAGCGCCAATTTATTTATGCGCTACCTTAATGGAGCCCATCTATATAGACCAGTTCGCATATCGAATCCGAGAGAGAGAGTCGAGCGTAGCCGATGTGCCGGCCCAGCTTCAGCTTCCCTCTCGGTTCTTTTTTATTTGGCGTTTTTATGGCATTATTTTCGCAGTGTTCATGAATCATATTGAGCGCAAGAAAGAACTATAAAATACGTTCCCTGGAAGCCAGGGGGCATCTTCGCATATAAGCTGAAGGTGTTGGAATTTTGATTTGACTGCAACAATGCAGCTTGGCTTGAAGCAAAAAAGCTATAAAATAAGTATAGGGAAAATATATTCAATTATTGTGGCGGGATTAGGGCTGTGTAAAAACGATTGTGAGTATTAGCGAAAGTTGGGTATCAACAAGTAGAAGGGGAGTGATCGGCTAGGGGATACCCTGAACCTTCCTTTTCTTGTAGGCGTAATTCTAAAATGAAGGAAACTTGTACATACTTTTCTGAAAGCTACTTGTTAAATTTTGTGACTCGGGTCATTCAAAGCTAAGAGATTTGCTCAAAAAACCAGAATTTGATATCGATTTTTATCGATTGCTTGGCAAAAGAGAAGGCTATCGATATACGGAAACAAACTGCGCGGGAACTTCGGAGACCAATGGGCAATAGAGTTGAATACAATCGTTTTCCACTAATTTTGCACATTTGTGGGTGAACATTTTTAAAAACACTCAGCTTTCCAGATCTTTTGACTAGGAGACGATCACCAATGAATCAGAAAACAAAGCAAGTTATCGATACCGGAAACTGCGCGGGCACTAGGTAGACATACGTTCAATTCCCTAGCTCCTAAAGGTCCTGAAATCGACGTCATCAAACATACGGTCGGGCGGATGGACATGACTAGATCGACTAACCTACTGATGCTGATCAAGAATATACATACTTTATGGGGTCGGAGATACTTCCTTCTGCCTGTTACATTTGCACAAAAACATGATGCCCTTTTTGCACATTTTGGGTTCAGGTCGTACAAATTAAGGGAATATTTCAAAAATTTGTTAATTTTTATGACATATTAATATAAGATCTTTAATTAATTTATTAATATATTTCTCAAAATGATTTTATAGCCCGCAATTCTCAAGCCTTATTAAATACTTCTAGGGCTTAAAGCAATGCCTCGTCTTAAGTTTGGGTTAGTTTCGTGAGTCTGGCTTTTGACAGCTGTGAGCACAGGATTTGATTTAAGCCTTGCTATGTTAAATTGTTTTCAATTTTCTATAGAACTAAGCAGGTTTCTTTGTTTAACAACAATTTGAAGATCTGGAATGGAAAGTGATGCAACGCAAATTCCATTTGCTAACAAAATTTTGTGGCAACCACTTAAAAAACTCAACTCAGCCACAACAAATATAGGAGAGAAGAAAAACAGCCGAGCAGACAACTTCAGCTGTTTTGCTGTTGTTGTTGTTTCTTTTTTTTTTCTCCAAAGCACAATCAATTAAAACATCGACGTCTATCAGCATTATTATAAATCAAACGATAACATAAAATTGACACTAAAGGCGTTTCGCCCATTTTTCATGCGACGACGAGATTAAGCCTCCAAATTGTAGATTGTAGCTCCAAGAAAAGAAAAAACACCAAACACTATATAGCTGAAAAGTGTGCCCAAAAAAATTAAAAAAAAAAAAAAATAAACTAGAGCTGAGCTTTGTTTTTATATATGCAAATTGAACGTTGGCCAAACTGGACGTGAAAAACTGGTCGGCACGCCAAAGTGCTCAGTAATTGATCAATTTCCGCAGACCGGAATATACAACTATACAAAAAATATGAAGAAAAAAAAAACTCAACTCGAAAACGAAACGTATTCAAGACAAAAGACTCGCAGTTCATAATGCGTTGGCCACACTTGATATTTATAACCTGAGCCCATTGAAAATGGGTAAAAAGGGCATCATGTTTTTGTGCAAGTGTATGTAACAGGCAGAAGCAAGTCATGTCCGTCTGTCAGTCTTGTCGACCGCCCATTTGTATAGTATGAATGCGTCGATCTCAGAGGATATAAGAGCTAGGGACTTGATAGACTTAGGTCTTTCTATTGCCCGCACAGTCCGAGTTTGTTTCTGATAATCGACAGCTTGCCCCGTTTCCTGACTTCGGTGATCGACTTACAGTTAAAAGAACTGAAAAGCTGAGGTTTTTTTAAATTTCAACCCGCAAATGTGGAAAATGAGTGGAAAACGATTGCATTAA